CTCATCCTAGAAACCTCCTAATTTTGTGACAAGGTGAACATCTTCAGCATTATATACAAGATCTAGCTTGAACGTACAAAGATTTTTCTCGTTGAACAAGTAAAAAGTAACAAGTTGTGAAAGCTTAAACATTTGAACCTAGAGACTCTTCTACCTGTGTTATGTGAAATGCCAGTTCAATAAAGTATAGATATTTCGTTGGAAGTTAAATTTAATTTCAGTTGTTTCACAATTTCCCAGTTAAACTGTGAAAGGAAAATAAAAAAGGTTAAGAAATAGAAAAATTTAAATTGGCACGAACAAAGTTCGCTGCAATAACAAAGACCGAATATAAAACCTTCTAGTTAGGGCTTTGTTGAGTTTCATCGGAAACATATTATTTTATGCAAGAAATTCACGTGTGGATGTGTTTTCTTAATTTTTTTTAATCGGTTGGCTAAATCTTTTTCGCATTCAAGTTCACAATTTTATTGAAAAAATCAAACATTTGTGTTCTGAGTAACCTTGTGTTGTTCAAATTTTTTGATTGGATTTTTTTGCTGGGTTAAACTAATTTCATCTTTTATGATAAAGAACTGGTCTAATCTTGAAACTTTCTCAATGAGTCTTGGATTTTCCTTAAAGTATTTTTACTATAATAAGTTTGTAGATATCTAGTAGCGCTTATATTTTTTCATTTCTAGAAGTATAAAAAACTTGAAACTTACGAAGGTTAATGCTGATTTTTGTTTCATCAGCTTTGAAAGAAGTCAAGTTTTTTCAAAAGGTCCATCAATCATGGCATCATAAATATCCCTGCCGGGAGGACTCTTTTTTGATCTAAGGCGGCTAATAAAATGTTGATGATTTCGTGCCAACCCAACAAGTCATTTTCTGTTTGCATGGAAACAAAAATAATTGCAATTTTTTTCCTTTTGATGGTATTTGGGATGAGCAAGACACAAACTATAACAATGGCTGCAACGATCTCTCTTTCTGCGATTTCCTTGTTTTTCAAACTGTAGTGTAGAAAACAAGCAGCTTCAACTTGAAAAATTCTCGCTCTTTATGGTTTTGTATTTAAGCCATTTTCGCCCTAAACCATTGCAAATCTGTACATTATAACTGAAAGAGAGACAAAAATATAATACAAAAACAAACAAAAACCTTTTTAAACAAAGCAAATTAGGATCGTAGAAATATCTTTACTTTTTTATGTGCATTTTTCAGAAGAAAAACACTGATAAAACTCTACATTTCTATGTAACCATTTTACTGCTTCGTCATTGAGGTTACATCATTTTGAAATCTGAATCGGTGACGTTTCAGATTTTGACTATTACTAAGTTTCCATAAGTTTAAAGGAAATGCAAATGCAACTAACAAATAACTTTGCACAGTCAGGTTCGAAAGAATTAACTAATTTTCAACTTAATCAACGATCATAAAAATAACCGCGACAATAAAAAATAAGTCAATTCAAAGCAGTTAAAATAAAATTAACCACATACACGTTTGCAGAAAAATTTTCCGAAACAACATACTATATTGAGTATATCATCTAAATTAAATTTCGGACCCAATGAACTGAATTTTCTATTTAAATTGTTAGGAATAGATCAAAGTTTTGAATGGTCTCATTTTCTAGTATGGCAACATTTTTTCATTTAAATTTTGCCGGAATTTTGAGTTCAGAGTCAAAATTCAAGTGTCATTTGCTTGCTGAGTTCATCACACGAATTAAAAGTTTTCAAATGTGAAACTCTTTACTGTCAGTAGCTTGTCAGTGAGTGTTGTTAGCTTGGTCTATAACCTCTTGGTTTAATTCTGTGCTCGTGAACTGGTTTCCACATTCCTTTAGACCTTATTCTATGTCTGAGTCCACTTTTCGGTGTTCATCTAGTCTTGTGGTTAAATCTCGAATCGGAGTGAGATAGCCAACCTTGGTGGAAATAAATCCATAACAGCAAATCTTGTAAATTACTACTTTCGATTTTATTTCAATTTAAAAAAATTACTTTTTGGATGGTAGACAGATTTCCGTTTTTCTACTGATGAAAATTTTTGGTGCCTTGATTATGCTCCTCACTTTATCTGCAATGTTCTGACTTGCATTGCCCGTTACTACACGACCAGTTTGGGTGGTGTAACCGTATAATCATCATACCCCTGATACTAAACCTTGCCTGGGCTCTTGTGGACCTTTCCTGTATGACTTTTATCAAGACTCTTCGAGGCAAACTTATCAGTCCAAGGCACTGGGTATTATTAGCAAATCCCAATATTTTCCATTCAATTTCATGGCCTCATCATATTTATTCCAAATTGATGTGCTCCTAATGCCTTCAATGTTTTTTATATAATACGAAGGAGCGCATTTTCAAAAGTTAGGAATCGTCGCTGTAACAATTGGTTGCTGTTACCATCCGCAAGTTAGGTTTTTAAGTGAACTTTGTTAATTTCAATGTCAGAAAAGATTAATTACTTTTTTCCTTAGCTTACTCAAAATTAAACTGTACTTGAGATGTGAATTATTTGCGGCGTTTACTAAACTTCCCATGTATCTTTTCACGTTCTCACGCTTTCATCAAATATCTCTGGAAGATTTTTAACTCCTCTGGATGTTTATCTCTCTTTTTCAAATCAGAGCATAAAGAGCAAAAAAAAACTTGGTTATCAATTTTTTTCATTTTACCCCAAGCTTATAACATTTTTGGTTGAACCACTATAGAAAAGTTTTTTGTTCAATTTTTTCTTCTTCAAATTTTCAATAGAGGGATGCGAGAGGGACAATCATAGCCTGTACACTAGCCATATATCTGAGTATACCAAATATCATTGCACTTAAATTTGCACTCGGCCTACCGCTTAGCTTAAAAATTTGATTTTTAAGCTAGAGTGATTTTAGCTAAAAATAACTATGAGCCGCCTGCTTTGAAAAAAAAACGTGTTCAGCCCCAAATTAGAAACAAATCTGGTATTGTAACTTTTTGTAATCTAAGCCTATGAAAAGAGTTAAATAGTTTAAGATACCCTTTAGGATAGTCCAATTTAGGTTCTTCAATAATTATTTTTAATCTCCATCGTAAAATGGTGGGAAAAGAATGATTAAGTTCATTACTTAGCTGGTCAGAGGAAACAAACCTCAAAAAATAAGCAAAGAATACAGAAAACAACAACAACGGTTTGATGAAGTACCCTGCACTTTCTCCCCCTCTTTCCATCCCCCTCTTTCTTCCTTGAGAGAATTTTTTTCAATGATCGCGTGCTCGATTAGTCTTGATCAGTGGCTCTGGTTCTCCAATCCCCTCTTAACGTTTCCTCGTTATCAAGAAGGTCTTTTCTCTTACAATACACTGTCGCTCTTTCCGCCTTCGAATAATTTGAAAAATCTGTAGGGCTGGCGGATCAATAATTGTTTGATCTGTGGCTGCCAACCAAACGGTGGGTGATTTTTTGCCACACCAGCACTTATTCTTTCGTTTGCGTGGGCCCTTTGTTTTAAAGAAATTGCAAGTTTTTCTTCCTATTGAGAGTATTTGCGTTGAGCGAAAGGTCTCTCGTTCTGCGATATCCAATTTTTCAAAATTGTAATGTAGCAAACAAGCTGCTACAAGGTAAAAGTTTCTCTCTCCTACATTGCGAAACTAAATTTCGAAAACAAAAGACGGACAAGATTTAAAAAACAACAAAAAAATGACGGCATTCGCAGCAAATTAGTATAATTGGAAATTCTGTACAATTAAATGTACTTTTGCTAGAAGAAAGAAGGATAAACGTCTACATTTCTATATGCACTTTTCACTGGTTCCTCATATAAGTAACATCAGTAAAAAAAATACTTCAACGTTACTTGGTTTTTACACCAAATTAACATAAACGAGATTGAAAGTAATAATAATGCGAGCTAAGAAAAATTTAGCGTACTCTTGCAAAATCAAGATTGAAGTAACTAAAAACTTGCAAACTGGTCTTCAATCAAATAATATACTACGACAATTCATTACAAAAAACAAACAATCAACCAAATAAACGCTTGCAAAATTAAACTTTGAGCCTAAATTACAAAAGATTAAATCAATTAATATAAACTTCTCAAACTTTCTATACTTTTTAGTTTTTAATTTTAGTAGAACTAAATTCAATCTTTTGATTTATTTCATTTTTGTATTCTGGAACCTGTCATTTTTTCTGAAATTTATCTGTTTTTTTTTTGTTTCGGCTGAAGTTTCCGTTTCTGAACTATCATTTAAAAACTTTCCAACTCTGTCTAATAATGGTTTTGTAAATATAACACAACAAAAGACTTCAAAAAACTCACAAACTTGAACATGGGGGGGGGGGGTTGAAAAAAGCCTGATTTCGCCCACCATAGTTTTTACAAAAGCAAGTTTTGAGGTGAAAATGCGGACTAATGGGCCTAATGACGCCATGTCAAAAATAATTGGCCTTGTTTCTTCACTTTGCCAAACCAATTTATACACCATAAACATGATGCTCATACAAGCAGGGGAGAATCACAGAAATTTATCGATAATCATTATAAACTTGAAAAAATTGTAGCTCTTTTTCCTTTTTCCCCATATCGAACGAGCAGCTTTTTAATGGTGTAACGAGTGGTTTTACCAGGTTAGTTATGAAGCCCAAATAAATTTCCTTAGACTTAATTAGTCTACATGTCAATTTATATAGCTATCGGAGGGTCTTTACGCCCACCTTTGAAGGTCAATTTCGATTTTTTTCAAAACATTGTCATAATGCAATGAAGTTTGACATAGTGAACAGACTTACAATCATGAAAGCGTGTCAGCTCAATCATCTCATAGTTTTTTTAGTCTGCATTTCAATTTTCATGATAATCGAAGGCTCTTTTCACCTCGAAACTATATAGCTTCACAGCTCCTTTGTGTAAAATTGTGTATAAGAATCTTTGCTTAAAACAAAAAAAAGAAGCACGTGCTGATTTTTTAATGTATAGACTATTGAAAATACTAAATTTCATTCAGACAAAATTTCTGATGAATGTACTGCAGCGCAGTTTAAAAATTAAACTGATTCAATCTACTGAGATATATCTTGCTGCAGAAATACTACTTGTACAATATTCACCACATCGTTATAAAAATGGTCCTCAATAATACGTTCAATCAACGCAGACCAACAACTTTGCGCGCCAAGGTGTTAGTTGTGGGGGATGAAAAAGTGGGCAAAACTTCGATTATTCAGATGATAACTTCGGATGGAACCCATTTTCCGAAGCAGTACAACATGACAATTACTGTTGAAGAAATTCTGAAAAACTATCTAGTGCCAAATTCAAGTGACTCGGTTGAAATGTATTTTTTCGACTGTTCGGGAAAAGAGAGTCTGTACTCCAAAAATGAGACTTTCTGGGAAAATGGTTCCATAATTATGGCAGTATTTGACTTGTCCCAGCCGCAGACTCTGAGAAATGTGACCAAGTGGATGGACAGAGCAATCAAGCAAGCAGGAGAATTAAGCCCGATGGTGGTGTTAATAGGCAACAAAAAAGGTATTTAAAAAAAATTTATCGTATACCAATTTAACAGGCCGCTTGAATAATTGGCTCTTTTCTAGTTTCCCACCCCCTCGTAAAATTGCTTTTAAAATGTTCAAAAATTGTTCACTCGGCATTTTGCCTGCAATAAGAAATGATGTAAAGTTTGTTTACGTGTTCACCCTGACATGTGTCAAGGCAATTTGGAAAAAAAAAACTCATTTTAAGTAGACTTTCATATACTGAGAATCAGAAAAAATTAAAGAGAGGAGGACTGGAAAAGAGCTGGATTTTTTTTTGGTTGCGAATTAACTGAAGCTATTGGGTTAAATTTTGTCTCGGAAAAATAGTCTGTTAACTTGTTAGGCGCCTTTCAATCTGTATACTGGAGAAAAAATAACACAATCAAACAATTTTCAATGCATAAAAAAATTCCATTAAACCTTGAGCTCATAAAATCGCTTCAATCTTTGTGCGAAAGTAAAACGTTAGAAACACAATTTTATCTGGCTTTTGCTTTGAAACAAAAAGAAATTGAAACCTGACAGACAGTGAACCCTTTACATCAAACGAACAAAATTCTTACATTTTGATCCGGAAAAAAAACAGAAAGTACTGGACATTTCATTTTTTGAGAGATGGGCTCTTTTCCAGTTCCCCCCCCCCCCTTTCATTTTTTCTGAAATTCATTACATGAAAGTCTTTTTAAAATAATTTTTAATGTTATGAACTGCATTAAAACGTGTCAGCGTGAACAGCTGAACAAATTTTCACAACATTTCTAACATGAAAATTGCCGTGTGAACAATTTTTGAACATCTCTTATTGTAATTTAACAAAGGGGGGGGGAACTGGAAAAGAGCCGAGAGATGCAACTTCACATCACGTTTTCTCGCTCGGCTCAGAAAGTTTTGAAAAAATGCTCCTAATTTTTCAATAAGAGCTTTGAAAAATGAGTTTATTTTTTATTGTTTTTTAAATGTCTCAAACTTTTTGTGAAATTTTCAGCTAAAAAATTGCCTTATAAACATTTGGGGGTAAAAACTAATATAGTTGAAATCAATTCATTTTGTCTTTCAACAGATTTCTGATATTTTTTGTTTTTAATTTCTGTAGTTGCGTTACCTTTTTTCTCCAGTATGGTTTTACTTTTAGCCTAGTAAAAATACTGGTCCCACCCCTCTCCCCCAATTGTTCTCTTTTCCACTTTCCCCCACATTTCAAATTTTTCGACGCGTTATTAAGGCTAAATTCGAGATTTACGATGTAAAGTATGAAGAACAAATGTGTTCGTATTAGTTAGTTAGTTCACATGAAAAACTTTATTTCATTATGACAATGAAAGAAAAGTTTTTCAAATTTTAAATTTCAAATGTTGGGGGAGGGGGGGGGGTGTTGTTGAAAAGAGCTGATGCATATGCGCCATTCAATTTGAATGTTATTTCTGAATTGAGCCAGAAATCTTTTGTTAATTGTGGAGGTTGTGACTTGTTGACCCTATATTCGGCCAACACTTGTTGCCAAAACAGTTGGAGTTGGAGCATTAATTAATTTCACAAAAGTTCGACTGGACCATTTTCGGCTTGAAACACTCGGCTCTTTTCAGTTTCACCCCCCCCCCCCCCCTTTCAAAATACCGAGTTTTACGTTTGTTTTACGTGTTATTACGGCTAAATGTGTGATGTTACGCTGTAAAGTATGAAGAACAAATCTGTTCAGAATTGTCGGTTTGTTCACCACGCCAAATTTCATTGCATTATGGCAACGTTAAATATACTTTTCAAAATTGAATTTGAAAGGAGGGGGGAAACTGGAAAAGAGCCAAACACTCGAACTCTGAAGTGAACTATTCGATCTCGACTCAATTATTTGACTCGACAACCCTTGTATTGGTGTGGTGACTAGTTATGATATTGGTATTGGAATTGGTTTTGTGGCCTTGGTACTGATCATGGCTTAGTTAGTCCACATATCATTTTCATAACAACTGAACCATCATTATGGTGATGAACGACGTAATTGTTCACGCTCGAATTTTGCAGAAAACTGCAAAAAGTAGAGTAATAATCTACAAAAAAATGATTATATAAAAACAAGAAGGGATTTTAATCGATTATAATGGAGTATAATAGATTTCGTTTTTTTTAATAATAGATTATAATGATTTGAAAATCCATTACGTTGTCGAATTTTGCCGCGATAATCGATTTATATAGGCAAAATTTTAGTCAACAAAAATCTATTATAATCAGTTTTCATCCATGAAATTTCGGTGCGAGGGAATAGTTGAAGAGAGGAACTCTGGAAATCATACTTTGTAAAAAAAGCCGCAAGGGTGACAAAGCTTTGTAACTGTTCCTTATAGATCTGGACAACGACTATTGCAACACACCTGAGAGGGCACAGGACATAGACAGTGTCTGCAAGAAGTACGGGGCCAAGTTCTTCGAAGTGTGTGCGAAAGAAAACCTCAGTTTGGAAGAGCCTTTCAAACACGCCTGCCACATGTACCACGAACTGTTCCTAAACAGAATCTCATCCATCAGTTCTTCCTAATTTGCAATAAAACTTCTTTCATTAAAGTGGTTTTCTAACAAATGAGAAAAATGTTATAGGATTATTTCAACGTTTGGCGCTTTTTCCAGTTTCTCACTCCCTCGAAAAATTACCAAATAAATCTGTTCAAAAATTGCTCATACGGAATTTTGCATAAAAAAAATGTTGCCAAAATTTGTTCATCTTTTCACGCTGACACGTTTGTATGCAGTTTGTAAGATAATAAGTCATTTTAAATTCAAAGCTGGGAGGTCTGGAAACGTTTTGATTAAAATTCCCTGCAACAATTTTTCGAACAACCCCGTCTTAAGAAGCATATATTTGTAGCAGAGATTGTAGAACATGAAAGGGTTCTTCAACCAAGCCGAGCACCCACTCAAAAAACATTAAAAATTGAAGAAAATATGTCGCGAGAGTTGAACAAAAATATTTAGACTTGATAACACGTAAAGCAATTATAAAAATCCCTATTTTGGAAGTTGGGGTAGGGCGAGGTGGGCAAGTGGAAAAGAGCCATTTCTACTATTGCTATAATTAAGCCACCAATTTCCTGAATAAATTTCAGCTTCAGAAATGCTACGAACAAATACCATCAAAAGTTGACTTCACTAACCAAAAATTCTAATCGAAAAGTTCCTTAAACTTAGTCTTTGAAAAAAATGCTTTTTATACAAATTTCATAATTTTTTGCTTAATTGATTCAAACTAGTTATAAAAGAAGTGCTCAACCAATAACTTCCTTAATGTAATGCTAAATACACAATGAGCTCATTTATTCCCGCTCTTCTGAATAACTGTTTTTGAAAGCTCTAAACATTCGAGTTATTTTTAAACGCATATTTCTAAATGCCGTGCGCAAGAAATGGTGAGTTTGAAATTTTAAATTTGAAACTTGTTCCTCTAAACAATTCTTTGAAAATTTTGAAGAATGCAATTTTCTCTAAAATTTTGTGTCAGACTTTTAATTGTGTAAGACTTCTAATTCGGGTACAACAACAACCCAAAAACTTTGAGATTGTTTAAGATTTTGAATAAAATTTTTTAATGGTTTTTGAAATTAAACTAGTCATATAGTTTACAAACATGAAAAATCACTAAGCATAGACCTTTTGTGCAAGTTTCTGTACTTATGGAATTTCAAGAAAATGTATGAATTGTTTTTGTTGATATAAAAAAGATGTATAATCAGCATTTTCGGTTAAATTTTTTGGTTTTGTCACCGATGCAATTTTTTGGTATTTTTATTAATCAATTGTTTGATATTTTTTGACAATGATTCAATTTTTTGAGTGTTTTTAGTTTTTTGGCAATATATTTTCCTGTCTTAGGTTGGATGAAATCTGCAATTCAAAAATTGCATGAAAGTACTTGGAAAAATTGCATTTTGGTGTTAATGGTGTCGACTTAATGTAATTTGATCGGACAAAACTTTCTTGGGAAGCTCAAAAAAATTTTAGGTCCAGTTTAAAATGCCTTTCCTCTTCATTTAATCAAAAAGTGCAAACTTTTTTCTTTTTTTTTTCACTCAGATCAAAAATAAGGCAAAAAAAGGGTTTTTCTGAAAATTTTTCACAATTTATTCCTCCTATTTTTTTTGTGGGAGACACTTCTATCGAAGAAATTTTCAACCCATTGTAAATGCAATTGTTTGAGATACCAAAGTCTAAAAAATTACTAATCATTGTTTGAGATACCCCATATCCTAAAAAATTACTAATCATAGACTTTTTATGCAATATTTTGTATGTATTGAATTGCAAAAAGTTTGTAAAACTACCATTTTTCTATGTATGTAAATTGTAAAAGTAGGGTTTTTGATCAACCCATAAAGTCATAAGTGGGGAATTTTTGAAGTAACATTTTGTTACCTATAGCATCAAAAAACTTTCGAGAGTTTTTCAAATGGACCTTTTAGTGCCCATATCCTAAAAAAATTTCCGGCCAAAACAAAAATTGCGCAAAATTCTGTTCAAAAAGCTGAAATTTTTTAAAATTCTTTCCGTGTGAATCATTTTTTGGCATTCAAAACTTTTGCTCGAAGAATTTTATGAAAAAGACTACGGAAGTTTTGGCACTTTTAACCTCATCGAAAAAATTGGTAAATCGTGTGTGATTTACTAAATCGTCCCGTGAAGCTCTAAAGAGAAAGAAACGATACAATTTTAAAACCTTATTTCAACGGAATGACTGAAAAAATTTTTAAGGTAATTTTAAAAATTATTCCAAAAAATTCATAAGTTCAGCTTTCAAATTAAATTTTTTTTGATGCAGATACTTGGGTCCTAGATTTTTTTATAGGAATAACTTAAATAAAATCATTGGTTACTTTGAATTGTACAAATCAATTTTATTACTGTCAGTTGCAGCAGAAAAAATTTTGAAAGCTCCAATCCAAATCAAATAGCTTTTTATGTTCCCATCGCAATTTTCAAAAAGAAAACTTAAGTGCAATCGAGTCCCACTGGTCGGTTTTTCTCCAAAGTTTCGAAAAAAAAACGTTAGTTTTGTCGAAATACGCCTCAGGATTTTGGTTATTAAGAAAAAGGATCTAGTAATAGTTTTCTGCGTTTCTGACTGATTGAATACTTTTCATCATTTGGTCCCTGTATTATGAGATGAGCCCTCGACCTCAGATTTATAGCAGAGTATTTTAACATTGAATCAAGTAAAAGATCAAACAAAAAGACACTGCAAGGGAAGATATACAACAAATCTCTCGCTACTCATGTTATTTAATTTTGAACAAAAAAATTTAATAGCAAGTGTTTTAATTTTCGGTAGATATTTTGAATTTATAGTCCCATTTGGTGATAAATTTGAACGATGATGTATTAGCGAAGCAATTCGGTTCTGGTATTTCCGCGAGTGAAAATATATTTAAGACAAAAAACTCAAAATGTTCTTGGTTTTTTTGCAATTTGTTTTAAATGAAAACTACAAAAAATGTTTTTCTGATCAAGTTTTTACCAAAAAACTCAACTACAAAAGTTAAATTTCAAAAGTCGATGCTAAAAAGATGATGTTTAAATTTTTTTCTTTTCTTTGACATTTTTTTTTGATTTTTAAAGTATTGTCAATGGAATCTTTTCATAATTGTTTATACAGAGCAAAACAAAAGATTTTAAAAAAATATGCTTTTTACTCAAATCCAATTGATTCAAGAAGTTCAGTTAAGCAAAACAGTCAAATATTCACATCAGAAATAGCCTGGTACAATCCAGACTCAGCCTACAAATCAACAAGGCGCTCGTATCAGGGCAAAACCTTATAACTTACAACTGATTTTAAACTTCTACGAAATTACTTAAAATAAAATAATTGATCGAATTTTCAAAAAAAAAATTAAATAATTTTTTTAAATATCTTTCTGTGACAATCAAGGTAGAACAATTTCTAATACGGATTAAATCTTCACTTTCGCGTTAATCCGCCAGCACGATATTTGTTGCGGCGTTAATTATCCCAAATTGCTTATAAGGCGACAATTTGTAACAGGCGACAATTTGTAACAGGCGACATTTCGTAACAAGCGACAATCCGTAACTCTACATTCAGCGGGAAACACTGTTTCACGCGCAGTATTCTTCTCGTGCCAGATGTAAGCGTAAGCGGAAAAAATTATCACGGTCGAAATGTTTTGTTTTTAACTTGAGCTCAAGAAGTATCTTTCGAATGATATTTAAAAACTCCCTCAAAATTTAATAGTTAAAAAGTCGAAATATGTCTGTAGAAAAAAAAACAATTATTCTGTCACTTTCTTTGAAAGTCGAAACAAAAACTGAAATTTTGTTGCGGTAACGTCAAAAAATTTGAGCCATTGTAGAAGAAACTTATGCACAAAGTCCTTTTTTTAAATTAAAATCTGTGAGTTTTGGAGGAAGAGACAGCTACTTTTAGTGTCGTTTTTAATCAAAATCAGTTATGGCTCTCGAAAACATTTCCTCATTGAAAGAGCTTAACACTATGATAATCAAAAATGGAAAACTGAAATTATTTGACCTGCAATCAGTTATTTGAGTTTATCCGGGGTAAGTTTTTTTTCATTTGAAGTCCAAATATTAGGCTACAAAAACCTTTTTTTTTTAAGAAATGCGTTGCGCGTGGGGTGTTAATTTTTAGCGAAAGGCTGGATTTTTTGTTTTACTAAACTTTTCACATTTTTTGTTTCACTTTTCACTGATCACTTTTCAGATTTTTTGAAACAAAAATATTCCAGCAGTTTAAATGGCAGTTTGAACATTCATAGCATTGCGAATAATTATGCGCAATCTATGAAAAACAAAACTTCTCCTATGAGAATGTCCTTCTGCATGTTCCAACTGCAATCTAACAACTATGGAGCCATTTTTTAAAAAAAAAATCTTGAGACTGTGAACATGGAGTTGTAAAAATGGAGAAAAAAACGTTTTCAGAAAATAGCACAAAAGAGTAAAAAAATTTCTTAAGTTCTGAGTTTTTATTTATTTTTACTAGCTCATTTTTGGTTGAAATTAGGATTTGAGCAGTTTGATGACTTGCCGTTTTGATACAAAAACATCACGCGGCCCATTTTTTCAATAAATTTTGTAAACCTGACGCTGAGGTAAATTGACACTAGCATTCGTTCAAAATTCTTTTTCTCAAAATGTAAATATGACTTGCGACTGTTATGTTGTAATTGAGAACAAACAAACAAATCAACAAATGCAGTGTACTTTACCATTTTGACTATCAACCATTCTTGGCATTTGATCATTTTCTAATGCTTTTGTGAAAGATGACGAAAACTGCAAATTTGATTTTACTAATTGGAACAATTGTTCTGGTGTTGCTTACTATAGGTAAGTTGCAGGTTTCTTGCTGTGCACTGATCTTTTATGCCCGAGCTTCTGATGCCCGATTTTCTGAAGCTTTTTGCAGTTTTCTTGCAGATATTTTTATTCTTAAATTTTGATTGAATTTTGATGTTTTATGTTGCATTTGGTTGTGAAATCCACATTAAACTTTACTGTAAAATCTAAACCCTTAAATTTGACAGCAACCCTTGACTATGTAATCCAATGACAAACAAGTCTGCTCGTATCAGGGCCAAACCCTGAATGTCCCGACTGCCGTTTAAGGTCTATAGAGCATTAAAAAACTTGAAAAAATTAAATATTAAACACGCCATATTAAGTACAAAATGATAGATTCCGCTCCTAGTAACAAAGCAATTATGGCAAATAAGCTTCCTTCAACCAATTTGGAACGATTAAATCTCCGCTTACGCGTTAATAGCGCAAAATATATCGCTCTTTAATTGTCCCAAATTGGCCCAAAATGGCAATCTTTAAACCCCCATAACTTTACAAAAAAATCTTAGGTGAAATATCTGTTCAAATTTAAGCTCAGACAACAATACCTTTTGAATGGTATACAAAAAGTATGTCAAAAATTGGTAGTGAAAAGTCGAAGTTATGTCTGAAGAAAAAAAACACCTTTTTTACCCTCTAAGCCAAAATATAATCATTTTGCTTCTTTCATTCACTTTAACAGGTGTATGTTGGGAGCACTACCATCCTGAAGATGAACAAGAAAACTCGAAACCAAACATTAGTATCAAGGTTTGTCTTGATTTTATTATTGTCTTTTTGTTTTCATTGTTTACTGCAAAAGTAAAACACTTGTTTAGGAAGAATCAGGGTACAACAAAGAACTTCTTGTGAAACCCGCAACAAAATGGGCTGAAAACGAAGAAGATCAGGTTACTTTTTTTCCTCATCCAAATGTATCGACGACGCCTCACATTGTCACAGTTACTAAGCTACCAAGGACAACAGGTCAATCGGGGTCAACGCCCTCTTACGAGTCATCGACCTCGCCTCACATCGTGACGGTTACAAAATTACCTTCAAGCAAGACCACGACTATTGAAAACACGACTGTTTCCACAACCGAAAATGTGACCACCGTTCCAATGACTACGTCAACAAACACGACAGAATTCACGACAACCGAGACGCCGAATGAGACATCTACCTCATTCACGACTGCCGAAACTACCATATTAACTAGTACTACCTCCGAAAGCACTTCAGCTCCCAGTTCAACAGAATATACATCAACGCAAACAACTGCGGCTCCTACAACCACTGAATCATCAGGAGTTACAACATCTGAAGTTACAAGTTCACTGCCGACATCTGAACCCACGACAACTGAAGAACAAACGACAACTCCTGAGACTTCTATGACCTCCACGGAGTCAATGACTTCAACAGTTGTCACGACCGAACCGACAACAACGACAGCAAATCTAACGACTCTGTCAAATGCGACTTCAACTGAAGTTCCGACTACAACCTCCGATGTCATAAACACAACAGTGACTACTGAAGAAACGACGACTCTGATGACGACTGAGGTTCCGACAACTATACCGACGACAACGTACATTAATACAACAATGTCGACAACAGGGGCAACTACTCTTAATACGTCGACAACTTCCGAAATCACTACAGAAATGACAACGATGACTGAGACAACTGAACTTACAACAATTTTGTCAACTACAACCGAAAACAGCACTGTTGAAACTACGATTGAAACTTCGACTAGCCCAAGCACCTCTGAAGCTCCAACTTCTTCTTTTGCGACAACATCGTCTCAAATTACGACATCGGGAATGGTAGCTTCGTCTAGTACTGAAGAAGCCAGCACGACATTTGAACCTACGACAGCACTCCCAACTACATTTACTCCAGAAACTGAAAACACGACATCTTTGTTCTGCGTAATTTGCAACAACGGGAAATATGCTCCAAAAAGTATGTATCAGAAAAATTCTAGCATTGGGAATTTTTTGACGGGGGAGAGTTTGATAGACACTATACATCTGTTGTTTATGACAGCTTGGTGACTTGAACTATTTCGGCTCTGTAGAAACTTTGGAATGACTAATCTTGTTTCTTCATTTACTATTTACAACAAAAAATAATGTTTTTCCTTGACTATCAAAAGTTGAATTAAAAATACACAGGAAAAATGACAAAATAGATTTTTTTATGTATTTTTTTTAAAATTTGTCTTATAAAAAGTATATATTTTTTGAATTTTTAAATTAATTCTTAGTGGTCGGAATAATTTGTGTTTAAATCTCAGCAACCGGCTTTCTTTGTTGACATATAAAAACTTACGTGATTTTTTATCGTTCATCTATTATCGATTATACTTCTCTTATTGCAACATTACCAAACTGTGTTTAGATGAATGCAAGCATTGCCTTGCTGAAGACGAGTGCTACTCGGGCGAGTGTGAGTCATGTGCCCCCGGCAACTATACTCCAAGGTAAAATACAACAACCACCAGTTGCTGTGCGTCGAACACACAATGTTCCCACGACAGCTTCTTTGCAAAAAATAATTGTTTTTTTTGGGGGGGGGGGGGGGGTTGGGGAAAGGGGCGAGGGGTTTTGTGGATATGTTGAAAAGGGTACAATTACTCTAACGCGTAGAAAGTTGTGTAATTTAACTACCAGACTAACTAGGAATTGATTGTATGATATCTAATATCTTAATTTTCTTGAGATTTTTAATTATTTGGTGAGGAGCGTGATAAAAGTGTGCAAATACCACTGGTAACTATTCTAACTAAACTAAGTTAAAAAGAATAAAATCAGGTATTGAATTAAAACTGACCGATGTCTTAAACGACAAAATGTTATGTACAATTGGGGTTATGTGACAAATAAACAAATTGAACAGGCTAAACTACATAGGTAACTAAACTGAAAATGTACAAAATCACTAAAATTAAGAATTGGTAAATAAAATAAAATGAGTAACCAATGGTAAAATCAACCCTTTTGAGTTTCACTAAAACAGATTAGGAGTTTTAAGAATTTTAAGAGGTGGCGTTGAATGTTTCATGAAAGCTGTCCGCCTCCTTTCTCACTTCTATATCTATGACTGAAGATATATCACTCCCCTCATCGTCCTGATTGGCGGTTCTGGCTTCTACCAATGGAGAGGATAGTACCGCAATCTTCGGAGTCATAAACGAAGGAGTTGACGAGGAACCTTGCGTTGTTTCAGCCATCAATGTTGGATGGGGAAGTATGTCCTCGAGTGGCGTCAAGTAATCCGGGGGGAGTCTGAGGAAAATGTCGTCTGTAAATTTTTCGAGCCTGAAAAGGTTATCAGAGGTTCGTCGTCGGAATCTACAATTTCGGTGGTCTCTGATCCTAAAGCCACTTGGCAGATGAAACGCCTGTCTCCATAAACTTATGGGGGGCCTGGATTCCTTCTGGGACGAGTGCCGTTGCCCTTCGGTGTTTCTGCGGGTTTCTGGGTTCTTTTCAGGAGAGAATTTCTATGCTAATAGGTTTATCAATTGTAACCGCTGGTGATGTGCTAGTCGTCTGGGTTTTGATTTCGCCCCTGAGGTTCGTCCTGACTGATCTAAATCACTATCACTATTGTAAGTTGAAGTATTAATTACAATTTCCGAGTCGGTACCAAAATATCACCAATAACTTTGTCCCAATGATCTAAGTCTAGCGAAGAATCTAATTCCGAAGACGCGAATTTTGAACATTTAAGACTCGGAGTTCTCGTTCTCCTCGTTTTTGTCGCCTTTTCTCCCATTGGCGTGTAGCTTGTTGATGGGCCGGTTACATTCGAGTCCAACTTCTTCAATGGTGTTTTGTCTTCCGTTTTCCTGCTAATTTATACCTACTACTCATCGAGTTAGAAACTGCTGAAAAATTACAATGAGCCAAAGGTTGAGTTTTTTAAAAACTAAATCCGATTTTCTGAGCACATGTCCATTGTCAAGTGTAACTGTATGCGTTGTATCCGACAGTGGTTTTCCACCAAGGGGTTTAAAGTAAGGTTCATCTTCCCTTCGGTTAACTGTCTTCCTAAACCAGTTACCTCCTTGGCTGAATGGATTGGATAGTGGAGCTCAATGAAGATTTAGGTCACGCTTGTCGGTTGGGTCGCTCTAATAGCCCCTCTTGTCTGTCACTGAGTTATCCAAATAGCCGTCCTCGATTGTTTCGTTAGCTCCCCAGTCTTGAGCTCTATCCCTCGACATTTTTGATTTCCCTTTATCTAAATTAATCGCGTGTGAGACCAGAGTTTTCCAAAGAGTATTAGACGATCTATTAGTATGTTTTGGAAATGGAGAGCATCCAATGGTTGATTGTTTCGTTGAACGAAGATTCCAAATCATTTTATCAATTGCCGCATTTAAAGATGGTTTGGGTTCGTTAAACGACATTGCCGAGAGTTTTGCTTTAATTGTGTAGATGAGTCGTTCTACGACTCCATTGGATCTGTGATCGCCGACGGTACATAAAATCAAGTTAATGTTGTTCTTCTCGCAGAAATTTCTAAAATCGTTCGAAATAAAACATGACCCATGGTCGACTCTGATAGACTTCGGAAATCCATGCAGGTGGCAGTAATCTGACATAAAAGATAAAAACGAAGAAGCTGAAGTGTTATTCACCACCTTTGCTGACGGAAATTTTGAGAAGCGATCAATACATAGTGATAGATGTTTTGATTTGCCCCAATTTTGTCCAATGGACCCGCAAAAACCAAGTCTTCTTCTTCGTTTGGTTCAGACAAAAATAGCAATTTTTCAGTATTGCTCGTGCCCAAAATCACTTTTACTTTCTTACCCGCTTTGATTCACTGGATACCGTTTTTCGCTTGGTAATAAATATCTCTGTATAAATGTGGCCACCAAATGTTTTCTGCCAGAGATTTCATTCCGAACTGTCCTGGGTGGGTTCCATGGAGTAGCAAAAAAATGGCGATATTAGAGCTGCTGACACCATCAGTTTGTTATCATTGAATAACACTCCTTCTTTTACGTGGATGTCCCGTTGAAAGGTCGTCAGGTAAGCTCCGAATCTGTCCAATGGTCTGCCTTCTTCTACTGCCTTCTTCACGTCTTTGAGTGTTTTATCCTCGTCTGTCATAAGTCTAATTAACCTGTTGGAGCCATGTTCGGTGAAAGATAATGGAGTGTCTGGTAACTTCAGATCTCCCTTGTATTAAGCGAGTAATTTTTTGTGAATATCTGACATTATGTCGTTGTCAAAATTTAAAATGATTTCTTTATTTTCCGCCCTAAGGGAAATTTTTAACAATTTCACAGACGCGTGAAATTCTACGATTAGTTTTTTGCTTTCAAGATTTAGGGACTGGTTGACTGATAACAATGAATGTGAAAGAAAAATTAGGTAAGTTTTATCTGAAAAAAGAAAGCATTTATAATTGAATTTTGAAAGGTTTAGTGGGATTCAACCGCTTGTACAGGACTCTGAACGCGAGTGATTAGAATTACAAAATCTAATTGGGTCTGTGAACTAGCTAAGAATATTCGCGAAAAACGACCATTGCATGTATAAAGTTAATTCTTTCTTTCCTACCATTGGATGATCGTGATCCAAGTTAGTAATAGTATTCACTGGATTGTTTAATTCGTTGTTTGTATAATTATTTTTTTTACAATCACTTTTGACAGAGTGGTTATCTACATTCTTTCTCACTGTTGCCACTACAAATTCGTTGGAAGGGTGCGAGCTTGGGAGGGTTTTCCTGAATGTAATCTCAACAATAAATCTGTAAATCGCATGTCTTTTCCTGGTATATGTTTGATCTTTAAACTAAATAGTAAAAGTCGATTTACCCTACGGGTCAGTCTGCTGTGCATAGTTTCAGGCTGCGTTGAGCTATTTCAATTCCGATTTGTGGTAAGTTATCGTTTCCTAAAATATTCCTCTCGTGTCCAGTGGTTGTAAAAAATGGAGTTTCTTCCGCGATGCATCCATTGGATTGTATTCTAACTACAATTTTTCCGATGATGTTGATTGTATCGTTAGTAAAACCGCAGTAACATTTAAGAGTTTTCTTGTCTACGGGGCGGATTTTCAAATGTGGGTTTCTCAATTTCAGTTCTTGTAGGATGTTTTGCTTAAGGAAGCCTACTGGGCTCGCCGAATCTACTGGGATGTCCAGGTTAACTATCGCGTCACCTCCAGTTCAATGTTAACCAATTTCTTTGTTTCCTCACAATTGGTGTCGTAGATGGTTCTGATATTAAGAACGGAATAAACGTCGTTGGCACTGATCCCCTCTTCTGTCCAGGCATTAATCACGCCACAAAAGTTTTTTTCAATTCTTGCTTGTGGGTCTTCTGGAGGGTATGGACAATTCTGACTATTTACAGCTTCTTGTACAGTATTTACAGCGGGTCTTCTTCCTTTCGATTTACACATTCTTCCAAAATGTCCTTAATATTTACAAATGTTACAAACTATCCTTCGCCGGACACACATTCAGGTGATCCTTGGTAAACGCGCTCCTTCATTTCATACAAGTATTAGATCTTTCTATGTTCAAACTTAGTTCTTTTTGTTCATTATTAAACTTTTTGTACACTCTGCCGCTACTTACGGTCGTGTTGAATGATTTAGTCGTGTTTGTTAGTTTAAGATGGTTGTAGTAAACTTTTTCGTCGATAATGGCTTGGTTGAGTGCATCCACTGGATTAAGAGTTTCCGAGAGTAATCTCTGTTGTAAATCACAGTATTTCAAGTTAAAATCAAATACATCTCTTATCCACTACTGTTCATCGTTGAATCCAATTTCACATGATCTTGCTAAGTCAGAAAGTGCGCCCCAAAAATTTTCATAGGATTCCCTGTCGTTCTGCTTTCTGCTTAGTAATTTGTGTCGTTCGAAGGTAATATTTGTTGGTTTGATAAAAACTGTTTCCAGTAGATTGAAAATTTCTTTGAAGGAGATTCCTAGGACTTTAACCCTTGGATGTTTTTGAGCGAAAACTCTCTTTGCTTCAGCTCCTAGGGCCAAAACTAAATTAGATCTTACTTTTTTATTGGCCTCGTATATCCTCATGCCTCTGAATTTTCGTTTCTCTTCTGCAATTCTTTTGTCTTCTGCGTGTTCATAGACTCGCATGGTCTCTTTATTTCTGGCTTCCCTGGCTTTCCTCTGTGGTTCATTTTCTGACTCCTGGGCATCTTCTAGGATAGGGATCGTAGTCTCCATATCCAATGGTTCCTTTAGATTATCTATATCTAAATTCTTTTTAGCGATGATAGCCAGATGAAATTGGTCTATCCAGTTGGTCCATCGGGTGGGAGATTCTATCGTGTGGTGTGGCCAAAGGCGGGGATTCCCCGCAGATTCAAACCAGTTGATGACTGCGCCATTATAAAAGTGTGCAAATACCACTGGTAACTATTCTAATTAAACTAAGTTAAAAAGAATAAAATAAGAAATTGAATTAAAACTGACCGATGTCTTAAA